GCACGTCAAACAAATTTAAAAAGATAACGGTACAGGATGTCCAACATATGCGACATCAGCACCGAAAAAGGTTGTGCCAGCCAGTGGGCAAGGTACTTGAGAGCTTAATCAACTTCTACTTTTCTACTGAATTACTGCGCGGCGGAAATCTACAGGTGGGCAATAAAAAAAACGGACACTTCGCCTTTCTCGATTCCTCAAGGCGAGTAAGTTGCACTTGTATTGAACTTTGATTGGATATTCCCACCACATGATTTCCACAATGCATTGAACACCATCACGAAGCTCCGCTACAGCCTTTTGGACGAGCCACGCGAACGCGATTCGGTGCATGGTTCAGCGAGTTCGTTGATTTTCTCACCGCTACTGTAGGGCACCCTGTTGAGCTCCGTCCGAACCCGGTAATCGGGGGAGAGGGGTTCAGGTCCGGTGACACAATTGGATATTCCGTCTTCTTCAGGTACTCAGCGCCCTTCCTTTCCAAGTAGGTGAGAGTTTTTCCAACGCTCTTTGATTCTATGTGGTGGCACCCAAATCCTGTAGCACTACAAAGTCTCCAAGATGGTACGAGCGACGACATGAAGGCAGGATATTCTTCACGAGATGGTCGATGTAAGCGTCAGCGCTTACCTTCAGTCCGGGATCCACGAAGAAAATATCGGTCTCCCCATTCCAGAAACTTCCGGTCCATACCATCAACGGCGCACCTTGGCGACTGCGGTGAAGATGATATCCTGGGCCGTAGCGATGTTGTTGGACCTGCTCGACCTTGGAGGCCTTCCAGTTCAAGAGTGCCGGCCTCCAAATAGCTGTCCATGGGTGACTCCGATACAAAGAAGTGTGAGTCGTGATCTCGAACGTTCTTGAGAGTCTGCTCGCAGCTAATGCGACGGAACGTCTTGTGTGTCTGCCGCACTTGGTACTCGTAATCCACGTCCTCGCCTGGGCTGGGCGAAAACTTTAGCTGATAGGTGACTCAGCCAAAGTGTCCTTTTGTCATTGCCCCCTGTACATGCAGCATCACACCCAGGAATGAGTTGGGTGGGGTTTGAAACATCATTCATGCAGTCCCATTAACCGTGAATAGAACTAGATATGTCATCGCGAGGTGGAGCCTACTGATAACATGCGATATTACCATTTTATGGGTCATAAAGTAGTAACTAAGGAATGCGAGACAGGAAAAATGGTTTTTGTTCCTGCATAGCTTGCATATTGAAACGACACGTCGAGGGAATGGTTTAGAAGACCAGGGATTTTGCTTACAATTAGCCAAGAGAAAGAAAGCGCACGAACGCTTCCACCAAACGTATCTGACGCTCAAGGGCGAAGTGCAAAGTGGTAAGTGTTAAGTGTTTTGAAAGCTAGGATAAAAGCAAAAGGGGCTAAAGAGCTGTCACTGGTTGGGGAACTTTTCATGCGAAGTTCGACAATCATTTAAATGAAGTCGCCGTATACCTCAAAATGCTTCCCTTTTCTCTCAACGGGAACTCAGGTAGTTCCTAGCCCACGAAGTTCCACGGGTTATCACTGTATAAGCAAGAAGGGTCTTGAACGTGAGCAGAGTAATCACAGAAGGCGCTGATGCAGCTGTATAACTGGGCGCTGTTTATCGACGGGGGGGGCATTTTGTACTATCACTGCTTCCCTTGTTCCGGTTTGCAAATCTCACTTTGGTAAAACTTGTGAACGCTTGTAAAGCTGGAGCAGGATCGTCTAGCCACCATCCCAAAACGTGTCAACTCGAGAAAACGCTACCTAGATGGGTCGACACATCTATGGAAAGCAAAATGCCCCCCCCCCGTTAATTGTATAACACGGTGTTCTTGACCCCACAGACCAGACGCGCCCGCCAATAAGGAACTATTCTGCAAATACGAACCCTTTCATAAATCTCTTTCTTGAACACATTCCCTATCCTACCGTAGTACCTTCCTGAACTCTTCGCTGGCGTGACGTTGTGTGACGTTCCCTGGAAAAAATTGAAAAATTCCCTTGTTTTTTTCCCCAAAATTCACCGCTACTCACTAGCGGATACATCTCTTTTGAAGGCAAAGACGACCCTCTTGCAGCGATCAAATGTAACCGCACTCGCTTGGATCCCTCAATATACGAAGTGAACTGCCCTCAATGAACCAACCATCTATTTCTGCACCTTCTGACCTTGGCAGACTCTCTTACATACAGACTCCGCGGTAAAGAGGCTATGAGGAGAAATGGTAGCAGACTCACATATGGTGTACAATCTCTTATTTGGGGTCCCATTCGTTTCTATTAGTGACGATGAGTTGGAAAAAATAAGAACGCTCCAACGATTGTGGGTCCTTTTAATGAATGCATGTTTGAAAAGAACCCCTGAACGTTACAGCTGCAATCAGCTGGATTAAGGTTGACACCCAAATTAACTGATTAAATCGTTTATTCCTCAACAAATACTAACAATAATGTGTAACACCAAAAGCAATAAGTAACCTTACATTATTCAGATGCCAACTTACTACTACTTTAAACTATAGCTTAAAGTTTAAAGTTTAAACTATAGCTTATAGTTTAACTACTTTTTTTCTCAGTCTCGAAACCTGCGCGTAGTGATTGTACGTCTAGTAGGAGTCCTGCTCCTACACCTAATGTTACAGCAGGTTTACTTTGCGGCAATCATTAGCCTAGTGGAAGGGGTTTGGCTGTTCTTATCGCCTTAATTTCTATCGTTTGGCCAGCGGTTGCTTTGATTAACCAAAGACCGAATTGTGGTTACAGCTACATGAATGAAAAAGCCAAAGCTTATCAGACGTGTACTTTTCAGAGCTATCTATCAATTTTGCCCCTCTGAGGAAGAATATCAATTCCTTCAAAAGGGCTTCATTACGTCATCTCCGTGCATGCAACATACAGTTGTTATCGTTACAATCAGTCGAGGAGGCATAAACAGCTCCACCTGCAGCGTGGTCACCATTTGGTTTGTTTTCTTTCCTGGATCGATATGTCTACGCGTTCACTATTTGTAGAAGTGACAGCAAGACGGTTTGGTTCACTCTGCCCTCCTGTGGCCAACTCTCCCGACTGACTGCGGTGATATCAACTGTCTATCTGATAAGGACAGGACTGCGTGGGGGAGTACTTAATAATGGAGCCGTATTTGACTCCATGCTAATAGAGTCTGCTTTTATCTCAAGAAGTTCCTGTTGATCGACGAGCTTTCGGCGAAGGTGAACCCATGCTTAAAGGAAGTTGGCACGATAACTCCCCAAAACGAGTAGGGTTAATTCGCCTGGCAAGGCAGAATTCTGCGACACTGAGCATGCGCTACAGAGCGCCTTTTTCAAAGGAAGGTACCCTTATGATGCCTTTAAGAGAAGTTGGGCGAACTTGGACGTTCAGTGTAAAGGTATTTAACAACAGTGGAATCGAGAGGGGGGGGGAGGTCATATTGAAGGAGTCGCACTTCTTCTTCGCCATAAAGTGCCCTGTTCCAAATATTTGAATAGTTCTGTACCCTCTACAGTTTTATACGCTGTTTCCCCAATTTGAACCATATCTCCCTTTGAACTGAGTAGGCGGATTACTGTTGAGTAATGGAGCAGGCGACGGAGGTCTTGTAAGTGGCGCGCTCACCACTCGCGCGGTCCTGGTTTGAATCCCGGGTCGACTCCCACCCAAGCCAACCATACCCTTGCCCCTCCCCTGGGGACGGTAAATGGGTACCAGATTTGCCCGGGAGGATAACAACACTGAATTAAACATCAGTGATCCCCGTTTTTCATTCTTTAGGTCACATCGCGTTCAATAAGCCACTACTATTCTGAACGGAACTAAGGTGCGTGCCGCGTCCCAAAAAGGTTGTTTAACAGCGAATACTTTATTCTTTATCCTTCAATGGAATAAATGCTGGTTGGTTTGTCGATTCAGCCGGAGTCCAGTCCCCTTCCCTACGCTTCTCTCCTTCTGACTCACAGGACTACCAGTCTCGCAGAGGTTTCATGAAGGGTCATTGGGCAATTACAGGAATATTGCGAGCGCTGTGAGATTTAATGACGCCAACGTTTTTAGACTTAAATTATGTCATCGTAGGTTCTTATACTTTTATCGAAATCACGTGGGATTACGTGGCACTTTCCCTGTGACTTTGAGCGGTCACATTGAAAAACCACAACATGGTGAATGCTTGGTGGGCATATGCGAACAGAAGGTAAACATTTGGCATCACTACGCAACACAAGCACAACTAACCAGGGATTTTTGCCACACGGGGGGGCCCTTTGGCAAAAGCTTACCTGGTTAGAGAGGCTGTTTCAGGCATGATGTGGGGCGTAGCTATGGACTACGAAACTTGGCTTCTTTTTTCCTGAGCCGCTCTGTGCAAAAGAGGAACGAAAAAGTCTTCAGAAAGAATCCTCTTGCTAAGGCCTATTCTGCACAATACCGCGCTCCTGATGGCGAACGCGCTCCAACTCTGACCGCAGAATAGCCGAAGGTCGCTTGCGTGCGCTCACGATATCGAACTACGGTCCAGTTCTGGCAGTAGCAGTTCGTGTAGAAATATCTATCAAGTGAGGTGTTCCTAAGCGCGTGTAGCATATTCACGTTACGTCATTCAGATCATGGTACCAATTTTACGCACGTTACCTTGCTTACAACGCCACCTTCGTCGCATTGCCGTAAGGAAGCGTTCAGACTTCGCGACGGCAGCGCTTCTGTCGCGCGTTCCACACGATCGATGTCGTCGGAAGTATGCGCATCAATCACGTCGAAGACTGATGCGGTGGCGTCGCGAAACCCTAACGCTCACTAAAGGATTCTCTACCACTGCATATCTCATTGCCTGAAGGCATCGCGTGATTGTGCCCCATGCTTCCTAGTATTATGAAGCAGGTTTTCTCGGTTCATACTTCAGAAAGTAGTTTTTCAAGAATGATCCATCTTTTGTTTCGATTCAGTTCGCTTTTCCTTCAGTGTTTTTTGCTCCGTCCAGGCGAAATAAACTCTATTTCAGATAATCACGAATGGACGAGTTTGGCGTTCGCGTATTCCCGTCGTCTTCAACGAACGCAATTCGAAACTCAATTGCGGTTCTACACTATGCACCGGCTCCACCTGATCCACCGATTGACTACACTCTGAACAGAAAACCTAGTTCTAAAGGTAATTCCAAGAATTATGGAGATTTTAATGTTTGGAATTTCCAAGAATTTGGAGATTTTGATGTTGATCTCTCGCATGTAAAATGCGCCAAGCCCTACACTATATTACGAAATTGTGGTGGCCAAATTCTTGTTAAACGACTTACAGGGTAACTGCCGATGTACACTTCAGATGGCAATAAATTGCTCCTGGAGGGACAAAAGGCTGTGAGTGGTTGGAACGGAAAACGAATCCCGAGATTCGATCGCTTACCGCTTGCACGGACCAAAGCTGGTTGCGCACGCACGCATCCGCGCATCGCTAACCCCACCCCCCCCCTCTTCACAAGACTAGTTAGGACCTTACTCGAATTTTGAAACCATAACTTCAGAATGTGGTCGCTCAAAGGCAGTTGGCACGATAATTTCCTGAGACCAGTAGGATAAATCCTGGCAGGACGGATTCCCGCACCACCGAGCAGCCGCGTAGCGCCTTTTCCAAGGAAGGTACACTTACAAGACCCTATCACGCTGCAACATACGACCCAGACACCCACCGCGCGCCCGCCCTCCCAAAAATGGACAACCGTACCTGGACCTCGTATTGCTTCATTTGGGTAGTGAAATATGAAGCGAAGAGATTCATATGAAGCAGCCACGGTGCTGTTTGGATATGTGATTACAAATGTGCAGTCGTAACCTGCCGTAGACGTTATGTTAAGATGCACGGGACATTTCGTTCCAAACCCGCTTTCTGATCCATGAACAGAACGAAAGACTTCTTCCTATTATTCATATTCTTTTTTTTGACAGTTCACACATCGTTTGTACGCCATGTTCCCACTATATAGCTTCCTGCTAGCATTTTAGGCCAAGTAACAAATTATCGTGCCATATGCCTTCAAGTTTAATAAGGATGAGTGGAAAAAAAGATTTCGTCCTTACTAACCAACTAACAGACAGCGAGAGCTAGGCTCCGCACGGTGGCACCTTCGGCCTCTGAAGAAGACGAGAAGGTCGAAACGTTAGGCCAATAAAAGGTTCACCTAACAACCTCGTTTGGCAGAAGCAACTTAATATTCGATAAGTGGAAACGCATATTTGTATATTTCGACAATCGGGAATGATTCTGCACTGAAGGGCGGTTCAGCCAAACCAGATTCAAATCATTTCAAATATATGTTTAAGCGAACTTAATGAGCCCTTCTCAACAGATCCTGAACAGATAAGAAAGGCAGATATGCATTTAACCTTTAGCCTTACTCGGCCACTTCCTCATTGAGCTCAGAATAAATTGCTTCTATTTTCGGAGATTCTGCCTAATAAGAAAAACTAATTGGCTCTTTCTCGCGAAAAATTGCGATTATTTTGATAGCGGTCGTCAACGCCATTTAAATCGCATTGCAATCGGCACGTCCTTTGCGTGCTCCTTGCAAGCTTTTTTCACAATTGGCCTTCCGTAAATAGCGCTCCGATGATGTGTCTTAGGGAACTCCCCTCTGATTACAGTAGGCCTCTTAATTATAATAATAACATGCAGCTACACTAGGCGAATCACCATGGGGTATGGTGAAGAGCCTTCCCAGGAAAAAAGGGGCGCAATTTCCACTGCACAAGTAATTTCAAAACAAAATGTATGCCACAAGAAGGACAAAGATGCAAGGATTCACTCCGCAGTTCTAAGCCCTAAGGAGGGACCAAACATTAATTTAAAAATAGTAATCTTTTTGCCAGTGACGCGAAATGCATGTAGAGCAGTCTGAACGGTCTGGAAAAAGCTTGCCTGGGAGACGGGTAATTTGCCGCTCCGCCGCGCGCGGCGTGGGCGCAGCGGTTTTCTTAAAGACACATGGTACGCTCAATACATTGAGGGTGTATGAGACTATCAGCCCCCAGCTGTCGATGTGTCGTGTCCCCCCCCCGCCAAACAGGCCCAGATACGAGGCCGTGGAAAAGCGTAATCTTGCTACACCGCCCTCACGTTTATGCTAACACCATCCGCGCGGTCGCGTGCAGCTCTCTTGGCTTTTTGCCAAGTCCTGTAATTGCGCTTTGGAATACAAGTACAACGCAATTTCTTTATGCGGATAACATTTTAGGTGCTGCAAAATAAGAACCGAAGATGATGACAAGGGCTAGAACTCAAGAGCAACTGTGCTGCTTCTGCAATATCCCTCAGAGGCCGCGCATTCCCACAGAACATGACAATAAAAACGGACAACATGACAATAAAACATGACAATACAAGCAAAACGCAATTTCCTAACATTTGAGGTATGCTCATGCTTCAAAGTCCGAATAGAAGGTGATGAAGATGACAAAGGCTAGAAATGAAACAACCAGCGAATGTATTACCTATGGTTGGCGGAAAGTTCTGTCACATTTTTTCAAATTAGACTTTCTTTTTACAGAGAGGCGTACAAGATCAAAATTATACAGCAATGTTATTGCGAGATCCTTGCCAGTTTTTGGGCACTTCGTGGATGCCATCGCTTCACAATGCACGCCGGCGCGACGCAAAGTTGAACATCATCTCAACTTTGACTTGGGCTCAAGTCGTGGAGGTTCTCGGCTGTATAACGGTTGAATACGGGAGGCGACTAGCAGTCAGAAAGAGCAATGTCTGGACTACACCGGTGCAAGGGGAGAGCCATCCAGCTCTATTGCATGAAGTACGGCTCGAACTTTTTTGACGGGGTGTGCTGCACCAGCACGTTGAAGACGGACTGTGCCGATGGATTTTGCCCTCTGCTTGACGATTCGCTTCAGATCTCGTAGCTGCCTTGCGTACGGATTGACCGAGGAGGCAGCTTCTTCATCCAGTAGTTTCCCGACCCACCGCTATCTAGAGCTGAGTTTACAGGTACCTCCCCGATCCTCTCTTCGTCATTCAAACCGCAGGCTCCGCTCTGAAGACTAGCGTCGTGGAAGATTGTCTGATAATTGGGGACATTGTCCTTATGCAGCTCCATTATTTCGGCGTCGACAGCTATCATGCTGGCGCCAGAAAGAAAGAGTTGAAGGAAGCGCTTGAAGGGGTCGTGCCGAAGGTAGCGGATAACATTCTTGTCCATATTGCAGAATAAGGAGAAGCAGGAGTCGAGCCAGTGATACCAATAGAAAGACCAATCCTTGATGTATAACTGCTCACATTACCGGTTAACCCTCTTCAGGTAATAGGCAAATACTTGGGTTCAAAAAAGTATGACAAAACTTTCCCGCCAACCTAATAGATGTAAATAAAACAAAATTGAAAAAACTAAGGAAACGCAATAAATTAAAATCGCGTGTGCATTTCTGCGATCCGGCTCGAATCCGGCTCTAATGCTATAGAAATACTTCAAACTAACGAGTGGGACGCTTAGGCCGTTTTTTTTGATGTTTTGTGGGAATGCGCGGCCTGCGAGGGCTGTTGCAGAAGCAGCACAGTTGCTCTTGAGTTCTAGCCCTCGTCATCATCTTCAGTTCTTATTTTGCAGAACCTAAAATGTTATCCGCATAAAGAAATTGCGTTGTACTTGTATTCCAAAGCGCAATTACAGGACTTGGCAAAAAGCCAAGAGAGCTGCACGCGACCGCGCCGCGGCGCGAACGGTGTTAAGTAAACGTGAGTTTGCAAAAACGGGCGGCGTAGCAAGGAATTACGACTTTCCCACGGCCCGTACTCTGACCCCGTGCAGTTTTGGGCGGGGGGACCACGACACATCGACAGCTGGGGGGCTGATAGTCTCATACACCCTCAATGTGTTTGAGCGTACCATGTGTCTTTAACTCGTGTTAACCTGTCAATTTGGAGTACCGAACTTCACGTAGTTGGAGCACCGGACTTCATGTAGGCCCCGTCATCGTTAGATATTCATGACTATTTTCGGTTCCGAATTGCCTGTTGTCACCATCTACTACCTGGAACCATCGTTACTTGCGGGCACGACGTCGCACGCGACGCCCTCCAGCGCGGCGAAATTACGACTCTCTTGTCATATACCCGCTTGCCTTCGTTCCGCTCATTTTCAACTTTACGTGAAAGCGAGGAGCCGCAGAGAATAAATCGAGCGAAAAGAGATCGAGACACCGTCTCAGTTAGATTAGAAAAATACAGTGGTCCTGCACAGTATGGACTCAGCCGGTGGCGAACTGATGAGTGCATCGCTGGAGCCAGTAACGGCACCACCGCCATTCTCATTATATTTCGAGCCGCGAAAGTGGTAAAACCTTCGCGACTACGACCGGGGCTAGATTGAAGTAAGATGTTCCTGACAAGCTCTGGACAAAAGAGAAGAGGTTTTTCAACTGTTGAGGTTCTTCTTGGAATCCTTCGACAAACTTGTATGGCAGATCATGCTACCACCATTTCTATTTATCTACATTTTCCTATCAAGCGCAGTGCGCATCAGTGGCGTCGACGCGCTGTAACGGCATCGCGACCAGCACTGATTGCGCATCCCCCCGCGTCTACGCGCTACCATTGCAACAGCGATCTGAAAGCCGTTGACGCGGAAGACCGGCGCTGATCGATTCCCTTCTGCGAACGCTCGATTGATGGGTGCCAGCCGTTTTTGTTTTGAGAGTACGGTGGAGGAAAGGAGGGTGTAGGTTAGGACTCCACGAGAGGTCACGGCTGCCATGTTTCGCCTCGCCGTGCGCGGCGATTGCTGCCGTGATTGGACGAGACCGCACACAGTGGCGATTAAGATCCCGGTCCGCTTCACATAGTTCTGTTGGCACCACGCAAATCTGCTTTGGCATTTTGCCAAACAAGAATATTCAATGAGACGCCAATTATTTTTGAATGGCAGCTGTATTTATTCAACGGATTGCTGTATTTCTTCGATACGACCTACTTTTCCCGTCTGGGGCCCCTACAATACCTTACAATTGAGGGCAAAAGAAGGATTCACCCTAGAGTGAATTTCTGTAGATTGCTGACGTATTCCCTGAATATTATTTCTATGTAAGTGGACGTTCTTATACACTAATCTTAATATCGGGCGACTCCTTCATAGTTTTTCACACCTGCAAACTAATAAAGCAGACATAGTTGGCAATCGTCATGGAGAATGCAAACGCCCGCGCATAGGGAAACTGCCGCGTGGGGCCGGGGGCGCGGCCAAAGCTGACCTCTCGGTGTCCTAACCGTCCTAACGTGCCCAAGGAAAGATAGTAGATGTTCCCTATCACGTCAGTCCTTATCCATCGGATGGCTGATGGAGTGGCCAGTCTCTGCTCGTTTGCGTCTATACCTTTGATACGCTGTTGTAATTGTAGCGCGCCGACACGCGTTACAGCGCATTATAGCGGGTCGTCGCGTATTACAGCGCCTTACAGGGCGTCGACGCATGTCATCGCGAAGTACTGGCGCTGCCGTGCACACAATGTTACTTGAGTAGAGAATGCATCGACCTGCCTTCGGCCGTCTTAAACAAAACATTTCCAGAGGAACACGCAGTGGAAAAGGCAGGGGAAGAGGGAAGTCTCGTCGAACATTAAACAACCGATGTAACCTCATGAGATTTCAGGCTCTAGGGATCTTTACCCGGTTTTTTACACAATGGCTAATGATTCGACTCAATGTTATGGGTTACATGTAATAATCAAAGCCCAGGCTGAGGAGCTCGTAGGCTTGAACCTAACTCACTGAGTTTTAGCTGTTACTCTCAGATAATCACACGAAGTTAGCTTCACGAACTTCTGGCATAAAGCCAGGACAAGCGACTACGCACTCAATAATCGCTCAAAACGTCTCTTAGACCCGTTCCACGACGTTTCTTCAAGTCACCGCTCAATCCTACTAAACAGAATGATACCAATTATGGTACACCTGTTTCACTAGCAAGCAATTTCATTCGTGCCTCACACGTACTGAACTTTTTCGCTTGATGGATTTCTTATTACTGTCTTACTCTCAGCTATGAAGTATAGACGAGTCAGAAGCGCGCGGAGTACGTGGCGGCAGCGAAGTCATCCGGAAAATTCACAGCTCGTTCTTTGAGAGGCCATTGGGAAGAATATATTATGAAGTGATGCACATCATCGTAACTGACAGAATCGCAACCAGGGCACATCGTTTTTAGGAATTCCCCAACAGGGGGTGGGGTCGTATTTGGTCGCTGGGAGCGGTGAGGGGGTCGTATTTGGTCTCAGAGAAAATTTTTTAATTTGATACTTGATTTTTCTCGTCTCAGGGACGTTTTAAAGGAGGAAGGGGGGGGGGTGTTGTATTCCCTACTGACCTTAAGAAAGGTTTGCTTTTTGATTTTCGATTAGCCGTTCTTTCTTGAAGGCAGGGTTAAAGGCATCGTTGGTGAAACAGCATAGGGGGAGGCGGTACTTCACCTCTGGGGAGGGGGGCCCAGAAGAGGGAGGGTCGTACCAAGACCCTTCCTCGAGATAGGGGGGGGGTCGTACTGGCACCACCCTTCCACACATCGCAAGTGCTGTATCCCCTTGGTTCTCAGACGTTGAGACGTTGCTGAGAGATTGAGAGAGGTTGCTGACTTTCCGTGACTTCTCCTGTTTCACAATGTGTTAGCTATTTATCCCTCCTCCCTGTTGGAGCTGGAAAGCAGTGACTGATGTGAATGGAAGTTTCACGTACTTGTAAATGAGGAAAAAGATTGGAAAATTTCAGTAACCTCGCATGGAGACATCTATACGATACCATGGAGAGAAGAGCACAAATCTATGAGCATTCAGTCACAGAATCGGTAAGATTCATTTCATTAATGTGTACCAATCAGGTAGTTGGTTCTGACATTGCAGTGAAGGTAGTGAGCGTTTGCGTTCTTGTAAACATTCCTGAAAGCACATTCCGCGCTCGTCATGCGGGAGGAACTGCGCCTACCTCTGTATCCTCGCCTCTCTTTCTTAATAGTAACAACGGAAAGATCCAGATCCACCCATCTGACGAACGAGGAATGTGCTTTCTAGGCATATGAATGTAGTAGGAAAGCCCTTTACAACAGCTCGTTAGATGGACACCCTAACGATACAAGTTACCGTTCATTTCCAAGATAAAAGTAATGGACTTCCAGGTCTCAGCAGCGACCAGTCTCGGCTGACTACTCTCGAGCCAGGAGTTATCCGAAAGAGTAATACTTTCAATATTTTGAACTGTACGAAAAAGTTTCAAACCACCATTAACTTTCAGAAATGGGCCAGCTGGTGTTGGGAAGTATCGTCGTGACACTGCTGAAGAAAGTGCCTCAGTGCTAGAGGACCTGGATCATTTGCTTGACAATGAAGAGCTCACTTTGCAGCAAAGAATGAGCAGACTGGAGGTACTTAGTTTTCGCGATGCTAGTCTTAGGCAGCGTTCATACTTCGCGACAGCAGCGGCGATCGCGGCGACCTCGGCGATCGCCGCGATCGTCGGTACGTGGCAGAGCGCGCCCCAACGCTATTATGGACTGCTCGCTTGATAAATAAGGAAATCCAACTTGTGAGACCTTCTTTTCTCTTAATAATGGCTAACTTACGACTTTCTATACATAAGCGGATCTGGAATATGAGGTAAGGAGGTTTCACTTCTTTTTAGGTCGGGCCAACTCCATTTCCTGGGTGAGCTTCTTTTTGTTTCTTTTGTTTTTATTGTTTCAATTTATGCAAGCGCCTTGAAATTCCTATCGTCTGAACTGTTCCAACTTCCAAAACATTTATAGTTCACAAGTCGAGTTCAAACAACGAAGAAAAAAAGAAACAGAAAGAAACTCACCTAGGAACCAAAACACTAATCATTTTACGCAACATCAACAGGTGAAAACTTTATAACCTCATGTATAAGCTCGACGAATGAAAAAAGAAACAATAAAAACCTACCCTAAATGAAGCTCTCACGCTTTTTGCTCATTTCTATCCTGAATCAAGAAAGAAAATAGAAAACAAAAGCCATTAAGTTGGGTTCACCTTTTTTTGTGTCAAACCAAGCTTCAAAAAATCAAGCTTGAGAAAATTGCAGTTAAAGGAAAAAAAGCATGAAATTGAGTAGCCCCCAAAAGCCTTCGGAGCGCAAGTAATAGCGTTGGGGCGCGCTCTGCCATGTACCGACGATCGCGGCGATCGCCGCTGCTGTCGCGAAGTATGAACGCTGCCTAAGTAACAAAGTTC